CAGACACACAGACACACACACAGACACACACACAGACACACACACACACACAGACACACACACACACACTCCTTTTACAAACATGTCTTATTTCATTCTTGGTTTTCTTTCTTATTTTATCTGAGGCAGACGTGTACGAACCCCAGACTGGTTTCCAACTTGCTATGTAGCTGGGGATGACCTTGAACTTCTGATCCTCCTGTGTCCACCTCCAAAGTGCTGGGATTTACTGGTGTGTGCCACCATGCTCAGTTAAATAATAGTCATTTAACATCACAGTTCACGTAGTTGACATAGCACCGATTTACCCAGAATAATAGCAGAGTCATCCCGTCCTCGTCCTCTCTGTCCCCATTAGCATGGATTCCGCAGTGGGGTAAATGCTACAGCAGACTGCTGTTATTTTGCATTCAGGGGTCATTTTTCTTATTTTTAAAAATGAAAGAAGTACAGTCCTGCGTGTGTGTGTTTACATGTTTGCAATTTCAGACCTTTTCTTTCTGTCGGTTCACATCTCCACACAGGATCATTTCCTTTTCTACCAAGGAACTCCCTTCAACAGAAAAAGAAAAAGCCACCCTCCCACCCAGATGAACACACCCACCTTTGTCCATTTTAAACATCGAATTGTGTTGACGTTTCACAATGTCAATAGCAGAAGTGTGCAGAAAGAAAAGCACCAGCATTTTCCAAGTCTCTAACCCTCCCAGATGTTCCCGTGTGTGTCACTATGTATTTATGCTTCAAGTTTTAACTCTCAGCTTGACACAGGCTGGAGTCACCTGGGAAGAGAGTTTTTCAAAATGAGGATTTTTCTAGATCAGGTTGGCCTGTGGGTGTGTCTGTGGGGATTGCCTTGACTGTTGACTGACATAGGAAACCTCAGCCCATCATGGGGGGCACCACTCCCTAAGCAGGGGTCCTGAACTGTGTGAGAACGGAGAGAGAGCTGAGAATAAGGCACGCACACATTCGTGCCTTGACTTCCCCCGGTGATGGACTGTTGCCTGGAACTGTGAGCCGGACAAACCTGGTGTTGCTTTCTGTCAGAAATGAAAATAGAACAGTGTTCGCCTCTCACACAGCCTATGAAGTGGGCACTGTCAGTTCCTGCCCCACAAGACAAGAAAATGGAGGCACAAAGAGTAGATGTCATGTTCCTGAATCACAATGCTGTTCTTTGACACCGCAGTCCAGCCCCAGAACCCCCAGGTTTCACAGCTGCTCTGTACAGCCTCTACCTGAGGGGGGTGGCTGTGTCTCTCCCACAAGGCTCTGTAGCTCCTGGAGGGCATGACCAGTGACATGATCACATGTTCTCCTTCTAGGAAATTATTTGTCCCTGCCACTGAGAGCCTTTGTCTCAATATCAGACAAGCCATCATCACACTTATTAGAATGATCACAACCCCACATCATGTGAACCTCGACATGCTGGATGTCAGGCTATTAAAATGTGGAACAACACATTTATCCACCTAGGCCTCTTCGTGTTGGGGCGCCTGACACACACCTCATTAAGCTTCACCTTTATTGTGTACGTAGCTGATTAATGAAAGACCCAGAAGTCTCAGGAGTGGGAGTCATTCAATTAAAAACTGTGCGCAGGGAGGCCACTGTATCCTAGCATGACTGACAGAGCAGCTATCTGCATTTAATTAACCAGAGGAAGGCAGGATGGTGTGCTGGAGAGTCAAGGGCGAGAAACTGGGGTGTGAGGCTGTGCTGTGTGAGTATAGAATGCTGGCCAAGGCTCAAGGACGCCGAGACTAGCTCTGGGGGGAGCTGCTGGCGGTGACATAGCACCAGGGCCTGATCACCTATCACACCTTCTTATAACCAATCCCTATGGCTGAATTAATCTCTAAGAGGAAGTGCTA